GTTTGATCGATTCAGTGACTGCAGTCAGTTCCTTATCCACCGTTTAACTTTATTTCAGCGTAAATACTATGTTTCTAAATTATTTGAAGGTTTCATTTTATTCATCAGTGTAGCTGTTTCTAGCTAAACTTTTGTATTTATTAGTTTCTTAAAGTTATTTCATGTTTTTGTACTGAAAAGCACTTTAGTTGCTTGTCACTTTTGGTCAGCATAGACCAGCATGCATATGCGTGAATCGTGTTGAGTCGTGGCAGCTACGAGTGAACTTGCATTTAATTCAGCTCCTTTTAGAGGCACTTTTATCTGCTTTTAACTTTTTTTAAATTAGGGAGGAAAAAGTCTAAATGAAGGAACAAAAATAGGTCTCCAACATTACAGTTAAAAGGAAGGTGATCTGAAGCGGGTGTGTTAACGTTAAGGGTCTAGAAAGTTTAGTATTTGTATGATGAATGTAATAAATCTTTTTTTTAATGTATGAGCTATTTTGAAACAAATAAGCAATATTGTGTAATTGTATATTAGTTTATATTTCATTATTAAAAATAAAAAACCACTTTACCCTAGGAAATAACTAAAAGGTTAATGCGAGTAGTTTGTTTGGACAAAACAAGTAGGCACTACCATGAAGAAAAAAATGCTTTGTTGAATTGTTTCAATGATAATTGTAGTCTAATTTTATCAGTTTTTAACAGCTTCGAAACATGCTTATAGTAATGTAGCTATACATAGATCTCAATGATAATTGAATTGATAACTTAAAAACTTGAAAGTTGTGAAAGATATTTTAAACAATCAAAGCAAATGTCATATTCGTAATATAAATCACTACGTTTTCTACTTATATTACTTAACATTAAAAAAAATCTTTTTAAATAAGTAAAAAGCTTTATAAAAAAAAGTAAGTGTGAAAACATGGAAAACAAAGTTCTTAAAAGTTTTAGAAACATAAGCACGTTTACTTCTAAAAAACGATTTTTGCCACAGGTTAACATTAAAATAAACTTTTAGTCATGTCTTAAGAATTTTATAAATTTTTTTCTGAAAGTTGGGGTGTTTTTTTTTTTTTATCTTTTAAAAAAAAAAAAAAAAAAAAAAAAAAAAAAATCATTAGGCTCCCAAGTGGATGAGCACGCGTTTATATGATAAAACTTGGGTTTATTTCCATACGAGCCACATTGTAAACTCTTTGATTAAAGAGAGAACTCATTTTTAGTAACTCGCCCTCAACTCAACAAAAAAAGATCCCATGCAAAAAAACTATACATCGAAAAGATAATAAGATTCTCCGCTCTCACGACTCGCAGCAAAAGCATNTATACAGAAACAAAAATTATAATAAAAAAATTATGAAAAAAATTTGTTGAGAAAAAATTTTTGCTGTAAAATACTAACTTTTGAGTAGGTACATGATAACGACAGCCTACTCCAATTTTTGCCAAATCTTATACGTTCGATACCTAAAAAAGGTCATTTTTTATGAAACTCATTAAAGGTACATCTAAAATCTTCGTTAAACAACGTATTAGAAAACAGTGACTTTTAAAAATATTTTTTACCACTAATTTTTGTATTAAAATGAGTCTGAATCAATTGCTGTTTTTAAGAGCTTGTATTAAAAGTCGAAATTCCGTCGATACCAAAAATTGGAGGTAAAAAATATTAAATGAACTTTAAAAGTTTCACAACACCGTTTTTTAGGTATTGAGTGTTGAAAAGACTTCAATTTAATAAGTTACCTTATGGAGGAATCACATACAAGTGGAATTTATTAGAAAACGGTATGTAGAATTTTTTCAATTTCTATTTGCATGACGCAATATCATAAAACTGGTATTATGATCAATTTTCAGAGAGATCGACAAATTACTTTTGCAATTAAATAAAAAAAAAAAACAGTGTCTATATACAGGTATACAAATGCATGCAAAACAGTTACCGGCGCTGCCGCATGCTCGCTCCTCCTTCACTGCACTCTCTACATTTCCCCTCTAACTTTACTAAACGTTCTTAATTATAAATGTAAAATTTAAAATGTACTGTAATTTCAAAAAAACCTTAAACAAGATAGAACTTCAGTTCGTAATATGTATATTTTTCTAATTAATAGTGCCACTTGTTAGATGAAATCTTGTGATAATTTATAGTAGGTTGAAAAAATTCCAAAAACAGAGATGCAATGTAGAGGAAACCCATATTGAATCGAAGAGCAATGCTGTTCAAAAATTCTTTACTCTAGTGTTGACAACGTTCGGACTATACATAAATAGCCCTTTTTAAGTTACTTGATTTGACGAAAGCAAGTAAAATCGTAATCGTAACAGCCTTAATCAATTGTTTTTTCGTAGACAGTAAAAAAACGAAAAACTTACATGACAAAAAAATATTAGTACTAAGCAGAGTCAAAAATTACAAACATAAGTTACAAATTTTTTTGCTCGTTATACTAACAAACTGATATTGAAGCTATACAGGTAGTGTTGAGGTATATTTACAATTTACATGCATAAAATGCAAACACGGTACTCAAATGAACAGTAAAAAAAGCTCGATTTTAAAAATTTTGAGTAACGAGTATAAGATCAAGAATTATTCTTTAACTTTAAAGTTGTGTTTCATACAATATTTAAAAACTGTGCTTAAATTATTTGTGTCTATAATTGTAATTACAGAATTTATGTTTCGTAATATAATCTATTTCAGATACTAATCTCTTGTATGGAAAGATTCTTGATCTCATACTCGTACCGAGTCAAAATCAAAGGTGTAACCGTTATCATTGGCATATCAACAACTGAAGACTCTTTTTTGTTTTTGCAACCCCTTATATGTTCTTTGATTTAAATGCAAAATTTTCTTCAGTTCGGCCTACGTAGCATTTAACACAATGTTTACACTTAAAAGAATGTACAGTAAACATTCTTTCAGGGTCGTCAATTTTATCTTTCCTTAATTATTAAGAACTTTAAACTTGTTAATAGATTCAACATTGAAAGTATTATTAATTTTGTTACAAAAATTTTTTTTATAACTAAATCACAATTTTTGAGGTAAAGTAATACAATGTAGTTTTTTAATGTTGATTCAAAATTCTCCACTTTTTTAAAATTGGCCAAGTGATACTTAATCCTACTTAATCGTTATTTTGTATACTTAGGTAAAAATTATTTTCTATAATTATTGGCCTGAAACTATTTTTAGTGAACAATGAAATAACCGAAACTATTTTTATTTTCTTCATGAAAAGAAAAATTAACATGTTTAACTGTTCAGTCAACTAGTGAAAAAACGACGTCAATCATTTGTGATGTAGGAGAATGCGAAAAAAATTTAAATAAATGTTTACGAGCGTATTTTTCTAATACCAAATAGTAGTTATATTACTTGTATTATTCTACTATAAGGTAGTATCTAAAAAATTAAGAGAATTGAGATTTAGTTATTCCATCGTCAATTTAATGTTTTTTAAAAGAACTTTAAATATTTGAATTATCCTCAGCTTTATTCTTAAGTACGCACACTAATGCATTATAAAAATATATTTTAAAATACTTTACAGGTAAAGGAGGGATTGCAAATGAAGGATTAATAAGATCCTGCGCCAAAAGATCAGCTAGAATTGGGCTACATGCAGAGCTCATTGCTGAGCTAAACTTTTGTTTATAAAATTGTTCATTAAAAGCAAAATAATTAATATTATGAATAAATTTACCAATATGTGAAAATTAAAAAAGGGATGCATGAATTTTTAATGTTATTCTGTGCCAATTTCTTTTTATGGCTTGTTCAGCTATTTGAAAATGTACATTTTTAAATAAGGCAATAACGTTAAAAGTGGGGCAAGTAAGGCAGTAATATCAAAACTAGCTGAAATATGACCGTCTGGGACATAGAAGTAAGAAATAACTAACAAATTCAAAGCTTTTTTTAATATTGTGATCAGAGCATGGTAAGTGGTTTTTTTTAAAATTGTGTTATACATTTTGAGACTTATTAAGTAGGTGAACAAACAAAGGGCATAATTTATCTCATTGGCTTGTTAGGTTTATGAACCTCAACTCAACATTAATACCCAGCTATTGTAGAATTATATTTTATATTGAAAAACATTTTTTATCGTCACAAAATAACAACATTATAGAATTCCGTGTGGTGCTTTACTTACCTAATCTTTGTGTTGCATCAAAACTTTTAAGTAAAGGGTGAAACTCGTAGATTAGTTCTGCAAACAAAGAAATTCAATTTTTGTTAGTCAAGAGCCAGCCATCACGTTGGTCCGAAGGCCTCCTTTGCTCTTACTAACAGTATTCTTTCTTTTTAAATCGTTTACGTAACATTGTGGTGTTAAGATTTACCGAATGATTTGTGTAGAGCGAAGTTAGTGTGACTGTAATCAACTAAGTTTACTAAAGATTAGCTATGAATTTTTACGTTACCCTCTATTGAGAACTATTTAGGTATTCGCAGTTGTAGTATAACTTAACACTAATGTTTTAGCCACCTCATGCATTTGCATAGCAGAGACACCCACAGTACTATCTTAAAAAGGATATGAAAATCGCATTAGCTTCATGTTAGTATTTTATGTTTGATTGAATCGAAATTGTAAGGTTTTTCTTCGCACTTTTACAATCAAAAAGTTTTTTTTTTTTTAATGTGTTAAGTGGTGTAAAAGCTGTTTCATAAAAATTAGTATTATGATCAATTTTCAGAGAGATCGACAAATTACTTTTGCAATTAAATAAAAAAAAAAAACAGTGTCTATATACAGGTATACAAATGCATGCAAAACAGTTACCGGCGCTGCCGCATGCTCGCTCCTCCTTCACTGCACTCTCTACATTTCCCCTCTNAAGTGGTGTAAAAGCTGTTTCATAAAAATTATTATTTTCTATGATACCTCTCCTCTATATTTAACTGTAGATTAAGAATAACAGGTTGGATTTTTTATTTTTTATTATCATACACCAAAATGGAGTATGAAATTAATTATGGTATATATATGTAAAAATCGTCGTAACATGTTAAAATATTATTTTAAGATCAAAAAATCTTTACTTAAATAATAATAAGAGTAATGAAACGTGGACTATAAGTTGCAAGGTCAACGTAAATTTCACTGGCACACTAATACAACTTTATAACGGTAGCACTCCTTGGTTACGTTTCCACTGTGAAGCAGAGCGGCGATTGTGATTAGGTCTAGAACTTTTTTTTGTATTTTTTTTATATCCGCAATCGAAAAAATTCTTTTGTTGCCCTTGATCTATCAGATTACCTGTCAAAGAAAAAAAAATTGACAACGAAATTAATCAAGCTACTAAAACAGTAATAAATTGATATTTTAAAACAATATTTAGGTAGTAAACCAACCAATTACTAATTCATTTTGTGGATCAACCATTCGAGCTTTTGAATTATGACATGGTTGTTCTTTAGTTTTTATTTTTTTTAAATCTGGATTATGCGAAAATAAACTTCTATTTTCTTTTATGTTAACTGCATCTTCAAACTCAATTTTTTCAATTTTCTCTGAATTGTTAGATTTATACTTGCGAAAGACCTACAAAAAAAGCATTTAATTTTGCTTGGATAAATACACGTAGTTATGTATAAAAAACATATTCATTATTTATTAAATTCATTTACACATGCAAGCAAAAATATGCCAAAGTACGCTTGTACATGCATGTGCGGGTGCGTAGGTTCATGAGTATTTCTGTGCCTACGTACTTTAGTGTGAGAAACTTACATTGGGTGTTGTGAATGGTCTTCCATTTATATCCGAAATGTCATCTTGGGTATTCAAGCCAATAGTATTAATGTCATCATACGTATCGTCATACTCATCATCATAATCATCGGATACTATACTATATCTATTGTAAACATATTTTGTTGCAACCAAATAACTTTTATCATTTAATAATTCATTTAAACTCTTATGCTTATCTTTTCTGAAAAAATACGTTGAATGTAGTTGTGTATGTAACTCTAAATAAGTTAGGTAGAGTTTGACACATTTTGATAAAATAAGTGCACATCAACAATCAGTTTACAATGATACGCACGCACGATAGCAAACACCAGCACCCTACAAAATTGTAATACTTTATCACCATTTTTATAATTCGTCCCTAAAATATATACATCAAAAAATGAATATATTTGGAAATAATCTCTGACAATAAGTTAAATTTTCGAGTGTCAGACTTTAATAATTAAATATAAGTGTTGCTACTACGAGAAATAAGATAGAAAGTCATACAAAATCATGCCTTTACTGAACTTTCTCTGGTAAATATAAAGTGTACCAGATATATTTCTTAAAGCATTGTCAACTGCCATCAACTGTCAGTAATATTAAAAGAAACAATACTAAATCCATCCGAAATGTTTGAAGTTAAAACTATTGCATCTCCTTAACAAGGTAAATCTCAAAAGACTGGATTTCAAATTCTGAGAAGTATCGCATTAAAAATTTCATGAAAACAATTTTAGATAGAGAAGTTCCAACACTTAGTTGAATCAAATTTTCGTCTGTATATGTGAATATAAGACTTAAATACTCTGTTATTTTTTTTCAATTCTGCACTTAGAAAATAATAACGTATACAGAAACAAAAATTATAATAAAAAAATTATTTAAAAAGCCACTTATCATACATTCATTCATTTATTCATGAAAAATCTTACTCCTTGTTTATCAAAGTAAAGAAATAATAATACAAAATTTACATATAAATATATTTTCTTATGATAACCCATGAATTAAAAATGTTTGCTTTTTTCTAAGAACTTGTCCATTTTTTTTCAACTATGCATGCATACGATGTGTAAAAGAATAAATATTGACAAAAGAAATGATTTTATCTTGCTTTAATATAGATACATAAAACTATAATTAGCTGCATAAATTTTTATAACTTCTTTCAACAATTGGGCTGTTTTTATACATGTGGGAAATATGGATATATACATTTTGATAAAATATTTTTTCTTACATAGTATTTTCCGTTTCTAGAACCTTTCTTCCTTCAATTTTAATCAGTAGTTCATTTTAAGATAGAAATGTTAAGACTACTATAAATAATTGACTACTACAATATAAAAAGGTTTTTCAAGTATAAGAGTACACTTTCAAAACTTTAACCATCAAAATTATTAATAATCACGGCAAATGCTAATAAAATTGAAAATTGAGTCAAGTCACAATCTGCTTACGCTCTTAGTGTCATCTTTTGCTCACAATAAAAGTATGGTTAAAAGTATCATCCACCTTAGGGCAGTGAGCGCACCTAGGTAATGCTACCATTGACATGCGATAGAGGTAGTAATTTATCCCTCTATTCTCTGTTCACCCACAATATTAAATCTAATTTAAGCCAGCGTGTCCATCATTCTTCACTCGCATGATCTTATTTCCTGTACTACGTTGTCATTATTTTGTGCTATTAGTCACTGTCATTCTTAATACTTGAGTACATAAATTTCTATGTGCACTCGTGCACAAGTAGCATGATGAAGATTCTTCGTACGATAACCCTGGCCACTGTAGAAGAAACCATGTGTTAGATGCACACGACCAGGAAAGACTTCACAGGAAAAGTACATATTTTTTCTGGTCTACAGTTAGTGCCTTTATTTAAACGATCAGCGTTTACCACTACAGCCACAATGATACAAAAATATAAAAAACCACAATTTTGGACGGTCAAGTTGTACTTTTTTTCTAGTTATTAAAAATTAATGTTCTTCTGACGTGATGGATACATAAAATACCTTTAGTGTCATAGTTGCACCCGCACCTCCCCTTGTAAAAATATATTATTATTACATTTGTATTGCTAGTTTTCAATGAATTTAAAAATGTTTTTACGAAAAATATTAAGATTTAATGTATTATTTGCAGCTAAAAAAATACAACAACTTACAAACAAAGTTTAAAGGTTCTTACAGAAAGTACAAGACCTTATTGACTAAAGTGAAGTAGCTCAATTTTTACATTTTTATAAGTACTAATGCTAAAAACTTTACTAGACTGTCGTAAAGTTCTTATCTTGTATCCTGATTCAATATTATAGACCAGTTATTGTATCTTTTTAATTCAGTTGCAGAACTTTTGAGATCTGTATAATATCATAGTTATGAGAGGGGGGGATAAGAAAACGGTAAGGGGGGAGCGAACATGCATTAGCATCAGCAACTGTTTAGTATGGACAAGTATACCTATGTACATGCACCTGAATTATCATTCTATTGCAAAAATAACTTGTCAATACTTCTGAAAATTTACTGTAATATTACTTTTCTGGTACTGCGTTAAGGGGATGATCGTGATATATCATTTTCTATAAAATATTTAAAAAAATTATGAGATACTTATCTCATCACTACACATAACAGATTAAAATTTTAGAGGAACTAGATTTGTAGTGTTTGAGAAAAAGAATCTCAAAGTTTTTCCATGATACCCGGGCTTTTATGGAGAGGTCGTCACGAGCTCGCTGCCAAAGATACGTATTCTGATAGAACTCGTTTGATTTTCTATAAATTTTCGTAAAAAACTAATATTTGAAAGCTGGCTATATTAAGAAGCATTGTCCCAAATTTCAGAATTCCTACCTTTCTAGTTTATGAGATGTTGTAATGTAAAGTAGCACATTTTATCAAAAATTTGATGAAAACGAAGCTAACAGATGACTAGACTCGAACAGTGGATGAGCGAGTACACACACTCATAAAAATTTATCGTTACGGGAAAACAAGGGCTTACGATTAGCTTGGATCTTGATACACCAAATTTTTAACGCTTATTGTACCACGATAACCCCCTGAAACAAAAAAAATTAGACAAATTGTACAGATTATTTTCTTATAAATCTCATTTTTATGTGACCTCTCCATAAGGTTGCATGTAAAATAAAATTTTTAAACATTTAATATCTAAGAAACGGAATTGTAAAACGGTGTAAGATTTTACATGTGACTTTCTAACATCATTTGCAGTTCTGGATATACTTACTACAGACATTACCATTGATAAGCTTCAGTAGTACTTGATTTCCAGTATTGGTCGCTTTATCAATGAAAAAAATACGAATTTACAGATGTTCACATTCATTTGCAGACCCAGCTGGACACTGATAAATGACAATGGGCAATAAACTGAAGCTTATTATAGTAGATTTAGTTTTTTGTCAATTTTTATGAATCCATAAAAAAAAATATGTTAACACATTTTTCAACTAGAACTTTACCTATAAGTTTCATAATTTACTTCAAGAAAGGCTTCGTACAGGATACTTTTGACACGGATTTGTCTGATGGCACAACCAGTAGTTATACTAAATGTAAAAATTGTTTCTTTTTTCTACACTAAAACATGTTTACGTTTTGAAAGTTTTTTTTTTACTTAATACTAAAATTAAGCTCACGGCTTATCATTTCTTGAAAGCCTGCTCTTATGATTATATAACACCAACCATTTTTTTAATACAATTGCTTAACAAGATAAAAAATACCTTAGGTGCAAAAATGTTTTAATCCAAAATAATGCATAATATAATGTAGGATTGTATGTAAACATTTGAATCTTCACCAACAGAAAGTTTTATATTTTGCAGTTTTAGCGCCTGAATTATTTTTTTTCTTCACAAAAGGTTTTTATAATACTACAAAAGTTATGCAAAAAGTAAGGTGCCATAAAAAATGCAACAAAATGTTTAGATTCTGATTTCAGATTTTTGCAAAGTTAACGACTTGTCATTAAGAATACAACTTACTTCGTTCCTAAAGACTCTTTTTCTTACTTCTACGCTTACTCCCAAGTGTAATTATTACTGAAAAAAAGGCAACTTAGAAGTGTAATTTTCTTAAATTAAAATATTTTACAGCTTAAAAACGGTCTCATTATAATAAATGAAGAGGCCATTTCTTAATGGTGACGTATTGAATGAATTATTTTACATAAAAAAAGTTACACTCTGAAATGGCAGTCTCTTATCAATAATACAACTCATTGATACGGTAAAAAGGCTTCAGAAATTCTTAAAGAACTTTTAATTTAAAATATTTCGCTAAATTAACCTTTTGTTTTTGTTAAAATTTAAGTTTTAAAGGGATTTCGATTATGGTTGATGTCAAGTATTGTGCTCATTTTTTTAATAACCTGTGCTCTGTCAGAACTGGTGTCATGTACGAAAGATTCACATTTTTTAACGAAAGTTATAGCTTTAATTGAAATTTCACCCATAAACTTTCTTTATCAAATTTTTGTAGTGAATACAGCAAAATCCAAATATATGAACTAGACATTGGTTGAAATATTTGAAAAAAGTGCATGTGCCACTTGCTCGTCAATTGCTTTAGCTCTTTATGTGTTTTTACAGAAATCTACAAGGCCTTTTGTACGCAAGTTACTATTGCACACGGTAATCGACTTACGCCAAGTAACTTTTTCCGAAATAATTACTCTGTATCTTTTTGTTAGCGTTTTGGCATTAAGTCAACTTTTGTAGTAAGCATTCAAATTTTGCACTAAATTCACATTTATATTAATCATAAAAAAATACTTAAATCACACTTAGCCCAAAATTGATTCACAACCACCCGTTACATGGGCAGTCACGTATGAGTTTCAGTCTAAAGCAGGTGTAAAATTTTATACAAACCACTAGCGGAAGTAAAGATTGCTCAGATTTCGTGTTTGTAATCCTCGACTTCAACTCAAGTGACAGTGCAAACGCGATCTGGAACATTCTTTACTCAACCACGCTAGTTGTGTAAATAGCTAATTTTTATTATTTTCGTGCATGGCAATGAAATTATATTTGTTTTTCGAATAAGTTAATACGCAGATGGTGACCGAATACTGGAAATTATTCATGACATTAGCCATTAGAATAACTACGACATAGTGATTTTAACTTTGTAACATCAGTAATTTCTTTAAAAG